TTTTTTTCTGTCAGTTCTTGCTTTCCCTGGGATTTGAACCCACAACCTTTGCGTTGTTAGCGCAATGCTCTACCAATCTAAGCTAGCAATTAATGAGGCCAAATTCTGCAGCAGGTGGTCACATACTCCATCACATACTTCGGTTGCAATGCTCCAGGATTGGACAGCCCAGTCTCCAGACATGATCATCATTGAGCAGGTCTGGGGTAGGATGAAAGCATGGAAGATGAAACCAAAGAATATTGATGAACTCTGGGGGGTACGCAAGACTCTTTTCTTTGCTAATTTCGATGACCGCAATAAATCGAATGAATCCTGGATGCAGTCCGCCAAGCTCAAGGAAGTGATGCAAGAAATTTGGTTCTCTCAGCACCACTATTTCATTTGCATGTTTTTGTTTTTGCAGAAAAATCTCAATTATTGTTTATGCGACAAAACTTTTGTCTTGCCCAAAAAACGTTTTCCCTGAAAGTAATTTATTTCAGTGGATTAAACATAATTCGGTTTTGGCGGTTCATGCAAGCAGGTGCTTCTACAAAAGACTTTTTTCACTGTTTTTCCAAATATATTTATTTATTTATAAATTAAAATATATCTATATTTATTTGTGTAACTGTAATACATAAAAATGTACATTTCCCCTGCAACATCATTCCCAGTGTATTTCCCATTCACACGCAGCTGCTGTGTAAGATCACGAGTATCTTGTGTTTAATCAGAGAAAGGAAATGCAGACAAAGCGGTTCATCTGATGCACCAAATGTGGGAAGAGCTACGGATGGAACCAGCTCTTGCTTCTGAGGCCTGTGCTTCCAGGCAGATGGTTACAGTTCTTCTGCAGGTTCGAGAGCTCTGCGCCGCTGATGCTCATTAAGCCGGTTGCCCTTTTGAAAGCAATTTCAGTATCTCTGTTCCCATGCCCAAGTGAATATCTGCTCTTTTACCAGCTTTTCCAGGTGGCTCTGGTGTGGGTCACAACAGCTCTTTCCCTGCTAGGGGTGAGCTCACCCAACACCAGAGCCGTACACGAAATCCCATCAGCCCTGGCACGAAAAAGAGGATTTCAGTGTGACGGTGATGACTCAGAGAAGAGCTCATCACACTGCACAAACACAGAGTAGCTTTTGGTTTGTAACATTCAGAACGAACACTTTTAACCACACAGACGACGGTTATATTCAGGAAGGCCAAAGACGAGATACATGGATGTACTGAAAGAGGACATGAAGGTAGTTGGTGCAAGAGTAGAGGATGCTGAGGACAGAGTTAGGTGGAAACGGATGATTCGCTGTGGCGACCCCTAAACTGGGAACAGCCAAAAGTAGAAGAAGAAGA